TTCAACTAGTCCAAGTGCCGAGATAGTTATACGCTGATGCGGTGTTACAAATCTCTTCAACCACAAATCTTGTTTAACGTTATGAACTCACTATTGGCGGAATGGAATGGTGTACAGTAGTTGAACCACAATTTTGCTAATTCACGTTTGTTCTACTACTTTAGCGCGCGCCCCATGATCTCTGCCAGTGCCATCAATGTTCCAATCGCCAGTCATAGCTGCTGCAGCCACATGAAGTCCCCTCGAGGAGCACTCCTTCTCGAGGAAGGCCACAACATCGACGACAACTTTCTGAGAGAAAAAATCCGAATTCGGGACAATTTCACCCATAATCGTCGTTTCACAATCCATTACCAATTGAGCTAACTTGACATCAGGATCATGACCAGCATCGAGATGTGTGGTTACCACAATGACCACCTACATATAAAAATAACCAAAATCGTTCACCCATCACAGTACTGGAATAATATGCTCGCTCTCCTCAGCTGAGCTCAGGAACTTCCTCACTAATTACAGAGGTTTACAACGATTCCGCCGAAATTTCCTCTCAGAATTTTCATATTGTCATCACCAACACATGATGTTGACCATTTGCATATATTTTCACACTGACCCATCCGAACGAGGATAGAAACTCGATACGCACTCACATGCAAAAGTCAGTAACACACGAAAATCAAATTTTTAATTACTATCGAGTAATAACACTACGACGTCCATTCTACTCGAATACCAATACACTATACCCTATATCAAGCTTAATAAACCAATATAGATGAAAATTCGGGAGAACACCGTATTGATGTTTTCTCATCAATCAAACCCAGGTGGGGGGGAGAGGGACGGTTGGGAGGTGCCAGTATGGGAGACCTTTTTCCTAGGAAGATGGACAGGTGGATCTCAACACGAGTGTGGGGTTGAATATACAATAATAAATACATTTTAAGGCTGAAGAAGAGTCCTTTGTTGGAAATAATACCGAGTTACATTCCAACAACAGTTGAAATAAACTTTCCTTTCTCAATCACGACCAAGGAGGTATTACATCTTTTCCGCGGTCAAGAACAACCCCAAGGGCCCCCTTAGAAGCCAAGGCATCCTCTCCAGTAGCAACAGAGAATCGAGAAAATCTGAAATACAAAATGACCCCACCGAGGATCGAACCGGAGACCTAGAGGATGTAACACCAACACCCTAACATACTCGACTACTACGACCCCAAAATCCTACTTCTCCAGAAGTATCGGCCATCTAGACATGATAACTAATCCCGAATCTAAAAACTTCGTCGGTGCAAAACACTCGCACAAGTACGTTCCAAACGCCTTCGTTGCATATTTCAACTGAGTGCCTGAGAATAACTCCATCGCGCTACCAAGTCAACGTCTTCTCGAGAGGAGGTGGAACAGGTGTGCAAGCGTAACTTCTTCAAAAATGAGAGTTTCAAGTTAATTTTTTCTTATATATATACGATGTACCAATTCCCAACAACTTCGGAAAATACCTCCCTAATATTAGCTATTTTTTAACAGCGTGGGTTGGATGCCAAAAACCCATCCAGCTGCACGATCATTCGCAACCAAACTCATTGGCATGATGAGAGTAGACACTTAAAAGGCTAAAACTGATCCCTCGGGAGCCATTGTGCATCGATGCTAAGAGTCTAACTAAGCCGTGTTGTCGTAGTAGGCGTTGGACTTTAAACTCACACACACACGACCATTGCAAAATCCCATATTGAGCTTTCGCTTCTCACAAATCGCAACAAGCCCATCGGATCATGAGAGTTTCACGACCCGTTTTTCTTCAAGTGGCGTGATACTCTGTGAAAAACGCTATGCAGCAGTCGTGAAATATGTTTTTCATATCACTAGGGTCAAGAAACTGCATTCTAATGACCTCACAGCGTATGAACGGTATAAATCATAATAATAAACCATAGAAATCAGAAGAATAAAACCCGACCCGAGTTCCCAAAGTCATAAATTATCGAGCGACCATTTCAATGCAGTTTCTTGACACTAGTGGGAAACATATTTCACGACTACTGCATATCACCGCGAATATCGCGTTTTTCACTTCACGTAAAACGGGTTGTGAAACTGCAATGACCTCGCGAAAGAACTGTACACGTCGAAAGACAATTAATCGCATCAACCACAACTTTGTCGTAACAACAACAACAACATCCGCAGATCCCCACTCACGATTCTGCACATATCTTATGAGCTCCCCCCTCGCAAAAAATCTTCCGCAAAATAGAGTATTGATCATACTAGCTACTGCGGACTGACGACCTGTCCACGCTTCCTGCAATGTTGCTACCTGAATCCGACACCAGTGTTGGAGGAGGAGTTTACGTTATCACTTTCCTCAGCTGATCTCAGCAATTTCCCCACTCATATAGGACTCCTATAATAGGAGTGAACAGAAACCAATGAACGAAATTTACCAAAATTTCCGCATGTGCTTAATTTTCCCCCACACTACTTCGAAAAATCCATACCGGCACTCTTGCGTCCCTTTGAAGTAAATGTACATATTTGACAAAAATAATGAGAATTTCACAACCAAAAACGACAGTTAACGACGATCTTTCTATTATGATCACTCCGAAAAATATTATTTTCCCAAATATTGGTGATAATATATCAATATCGGATGTTCACGTTATGCTTGGGATGGACTGGCTCTCCGCAATTGATGCATCATTATCGGTGCGTCCCGGAAAATTCCCTCCCTGGACATTTCTCCACAATCTAGTGCATCATTGTCTGGTCTAGAGGCCACTTTGTGGTGCAGCCCGCTGATGTCGTCATTGTGGA